CAAGGAGAGCCTGAAGGCACAGGTGCTGAAGGGGCCAGGAGGCGGCCGGCTGCAGATGGGAAGGCTGAGGGGGAGGGAAGGGAGGGCAGGGCTGTCAGCAGGGGGAGGGGAAGGGGAACTGCACAGACAGCAGAGTGGAGACAGCTTGGGCAGAAGCAGTGCCTAGGAATCCTGACGGATTAAGTAAAATCATTATTGTCAACCAAGTGCTTTTGCAATGCAATCGATCAGCAGCCGCTGAGTAGGAGTAGGTAATGAGAGACCCAGAAGTTACCATAACCTCAGCACTCACCTTCCTGCTGTCCCTTCTGTGGCTGTGACAATTCCTTAGTTACCTTTCTTCCCCCCAGCAGGACTAATTTCTAATTACATCTAGCCAAGCTCCCCAAGTGTGTTTCCCACTGAATTTCATTTCCGGGCCTGTTGAATGCCAGATTAATTTTTAATCACCCTGGAGGTGTTGAGTTTAATTACCCAGATTGAAAGTGACAAGGAAAACAGGATTTGGGGGATAGATTTTGGGAGTGCTTCTTGGGAATGGGGAACAATGTTTCCAGAATGTTGTGGGGCTGGGGGTATCTTGGCTCTCCAGCTCCAGGATCTGTATTTGAGAGCCCACAGTATGCCCAGCCCTGCAGCAGACTGGGAGGGGGCCAGAGGTGGTAGAGCATGTGGGTCTTGGAAAAGCCCAAGCTTGGGAAGGAGAGTCTCATCCAAGCACAAAACACACAAGTGGGGAATAATGGGAGATCTTCACTGGTTGAATGAAGCCTGTTCATCAACTCACAATCCAGAGCTTGTTATGCTACTCCAACCATGCCTGTCCAAATCCCAAAACCAATGCAGTGGAGCTACTCTTCATTGCAGTTACTATGTGCCAGCCTCCTTTCCAATGGGTTTGGACACTTTTCCCTCTGCCATGTGACTAGGGGCCTGACTCTCAAATCAATTGGCTTATCCTACTTCCCTGGACAGAGACTTGTGCAGGTGAGGCATGTGATGTCATCCTGGCCAATGAGATATGAGAAATAATCATCTGGGTTGGCAGGGGTATTCTGGGAAAGGTTATATTCTTAAAATGAAATACAATGAGCCATGCTTCCTTCTTGTCTTGGTGTGAGAGTTTGAGACCTGGGTCTGTGGTGGCCTTTCTTACACCATGAAGGGATCATTTGAGAATGCAGCTCACATTCTGAAGATGGCAGAACAGGAAGGATCTGGAAGATGAATGAACCAACCCTGTGGCCCTCTTATTAGGTGAGATAATACATTCTGCAAAGCTATAGCCATCTAAGCCCCTAGGGTAAGTTTTTCTGCCCCTTGTGGCCAAGGACATATTTTTTTCCTGGTTCTGGGGATTGAATCCAGGGCCTTACACATTCTAGACAAGCAGTCTAAGACTGAGGTATAGTTTCAGCCCAGCCAGGGGTGTCTTCACTAGGAGCCAGACACTGAGCCAAGTGCTTTGCATCGACATTTTATTTATGTGCAACAGCAACAAAGACAAATTAAGACTTGGTTCCTGCTCTCATAGGGCAGTAGTTCAGTGGTAGAGAATAGGATGAAGCAGGTGTGATGAGCTGAGGGCGACCACTCCAGACCAGGAGGGTTCAGGCAAGGGTTCTTAGAGAAGGTGACTTGAGATGACTCTTTAGGAGAAAAGGAGAAGCTGGGCAGGCAGTAAAGGGGGTGGAGAGGGCACTATAAAGCAAAAGAACAAGAGCACAGTAGCCTAGTGCCCTGAGAAGCCAAGTTGGAGCAGCACGAGGTTGTGCACGGAGCTGGGACAGGGGAAGGCACCAGGAACCCTTCCTTGCACAACCTGAAAGTGGGCACTTCCTTGAGTTTTGTGCCCTGGTATCATACCTGGCCCTGGAGGTAACAGGGCTAGAAGGTTAAGCAAGGGCCAGATCCAGGAGGGTCCCAAATAACTCTGGCCTCTACCATGTGAATAGGGGCCTGACCCTAGGTAATCAGCAGCATTGGAAGAGTTTCCATCATTTGAAAAGTCACCTGGACGACAGTTGAAGGAATGTTGTTGACTGGGAAGGAAGGTGGAAATGGGAAGATCTGCAAGAAGGTTTGGGGGGTAACCCAGGAGGCACATGATGACCTGAAGAGGTGCAGAGAGATCAGGGAGGGCCAGAAAAGTGAAGGGAAGATAGAAGAGGTACAGTGGGCCTGGAGCATGGAGGTAGTGTCCAGTGCTGGCTTCAGAAGTCTACAGGGTGGCCAAAAGTAGGACGTAATCTTCAAAGCAGAGCATTAAGACAAGCATTCTCACCAGCAAGGAGGTGAAGGCTGTGCCCTGGCTTTTAACAAAAGCAAATAAGTGGCTGGAGGTCAGGGTAGTGGAGTGTTCTGTGGTAGGAGGAGAGGAGACTAGAAGGTATAGGGAAGAGTCTAGAGGGTAGAGATTGTGGTTCCTGCAGCTTTGAGTATTGTGGTTTAAATTTATGGCTTTTGGTCACTGCCATCTTCCTGGGGTAGTGGGGAGGATGGTCCACCAGATTAAAAGCTGATGGAGGGCAGAGATCCTGGCCCAGAACTGGGGCTGTTGATGCCCGCCGTGCTTAGCCCTCTGGTTAGGCCTGGATGATCATCTTTGTACTTTGTCCTCCCAACTTCCCACAAAATGAGGATGTTATAATCAGAGCTCTTTGGTTTTATTTGTTCAACAAATATTGGTTGAGAAACTTTTAGGCCAGGCCCTGAGATCCAGCATTTGAGAAAAGTTATTCATTTGAGAAAAATCATTGGCCTCATGTTTTTGGTCTACTGACTGAGAGTGTCAGAGACATGTCTCAGACTGGTGCGGACAGAAGAGGACATGTAGAGGCTTCTGTGAGACAACACAGGGTCCTCTTCAGAGCATTCAGGCATGGTGGGAACCAGAGGTTCAGTTGAAGTCTTCAAGACTTCTAAGTTCTCTTTCTTTCCTCACCTCTTCCTTTGCTTTACTCTCACGCAGGCTTTCTCTGTGCAAATGACAATATGGACACTAGCAGCTTCAGGCTTACATCAAAAAGCCAAAAAAAGAAACTTTCCTGATGAATAGGTCCAGCAGAAGTTCTCAACCGAACTCTCATTGGCTGGATATGATCACATGGTCATTCCTGACCTCATCACTTAGGATGATTTGATTGGCTGGACCTGGGCACAAGCTCACTCCTGCAGTTGGCAAGTGGGTAGAGTTATCACCAAGGAAACCATAGAGAATAGTGGTTTCCCAGGGAGAGATCATGGGGCTGGAGAAGAGAATAGATTTTTTTTTATTTTTTTAACAGAAAGGGGAAACTGCAGTTCAGAATCCAGGATTTGCATTCAAGCCTTTTCAACACCATACCCTGATCTGTGAACCCATATCCTTTAGTGACCTCTTCCTCCTAGGGCAAAGGAAGCTTGGGTAGAGCAAGAAGGGACTCTGGCATCAGTCAGCCCTTGGTTAAATCCTGGCTCTGACACTTTCTGGGCCTCAGTTTCCACCCATGTGAAATGGGTCTAATGATATTACCTCTCCCGATTGGAGGATTCTATCAGTCAGAGAATGGAAACTTCTTGGAAGAGAGCCTAGCTCATGCTCAGTGGGAACAGAATGAATTTTTTAAAAAATAAATCCTACGGTAGGAGCTTTAAAACAAGATTTTTTTTTTTCTCCAGTGCCGAGGAAGAAACCCAGAGCTTTGCACATGCTAAGTGAGTGCTCGGCCACTGAGCTACAGCCCCAGCCTAAAATTAGACTTCTTGATGGCTCAAAGAAAGAGGCCTCCGAGTTTTCATGTTCTCTCCTGCTCCTCAGTATCTGATACTTCCCCAAATCTCCTTGGTGCTGGGGTGGGCAGGAAGGGAAGAGTGGGGTGGGGGGAGGCAGTCAGGGTGGGGGAGGGTGTGCTGCTACCTTGGGAATAAGACCCCTGTGCAGGTCTACAGAAATCCAGGGGAAAAGGAAATCCTGCACCAGTACCAGAGGGAAGCCCCCGCCTGCCCGGCCTCCACTTCTGGGATGTGCATTCCCACCAGGAGGGAGGCAGGGAAGTGGCAGCTCCTGGCTGCCCAGGCTTCCTGAGGACAGCGGGCCATTGCCTCCTGGGGACACTTCCCCTCATCCCCTCCTGGTATCTCCCATCTGGGGTCCTGGAGAGAAGAGGCTGTTGGAATGCCTCAGGAGCATATGGGCATGTGGCTGAGTGTGCCATCATGATAACAATACTGACCCCATGACACTGATGCCCGATCACTTGCCTTCTCCTGCTTACCACCATGGCACAGAGAAGGTGCTGAGCAAAACAGCCTGGAGGCTCAGAGTGGAGGCTGTGGATTCGAATCCTGCAGTGATCAGACTTGTTAATGCTTACCTCCATCATCTCACTACACACACACACACACACACACACACACACACGTTCTTCTCTGAAGTGGGAGATGCCACCCCCAAGATATGGTCTATGATTGTTCTAAACCAGGGGTGAGCAAACTACAGCCTGAGGGCTAAATCTGACTTCCCTGAGGACCGAGGCACTGGGGATGGAACTCAAGGGAGCCCTACCACTGAACTACATCCCCATCCCTGTTTAAAAAAAAATTAGTTTTGAGACAGGGTCTCACTAAGTTGCCCAGGTTGGTGCCAAGTTTGCGATCCTCCTGCCTCAGTCTCCTGAGTAGCTGGGATTACAGGTGACTCCCTAGTTCTTGTAGGACCCATGAGCTAAAATGGTTTTTAGCATTTTTAAATGGCTGAAGAAAATAAAAATAATATTTTGTGACATACAAAAATTATATGAAAACAAGTGTGTCCGTATATAGTCTTATTGAAGTAACACACATTTGTGTGTTACATGTGATTATTGTCATACTATAAAGGCAGAGTGGAGTATTGGCAACAAGGACTGTTTGGCCCACAAAGCCAAAAATATTTATTATCTAGTCCTTTCTGAGAAAAGTTTGCTGGCCCTTGGTCTACGTCAATCATGAGAATTCTGCGCCCTTTTCCCCAGGCTTCTTTGCAGTAAGAGTGTCCACTTGTTCCAGTTCTGTCCAAAGACAGCTAAGCAGAGGTCCGAAGGGGAGATTCATATCAAGTATTGCTTTTCTGAAAGAAGGGTCTAGATTGGCTGGCTCCTCACCCTCCGGCTTCCTGTCTGAAGTGTGAGTATGTGAGGATGCTATCCAGAACCCCTTCAGCCCCTTTATTTCAGAATCTGTCTCCTGCCAAGAAATGGGAAACAGAGAGTCATGAGTTCAGTTGGGAGGGCTGGCAAGGCTGGCTGGGATCCAAGAGAGAGGGAAAGTCCACCCTGGCCACTCACCCAGAGGTTGGGTTACTTGTAGCCTAGACCAGAGAGTCCACGGTCAACTGGGCAGGACTGAGGAAAGGTCAGCCCCTCCTGAGAATTTTCCCAGTGGTTCCTGTTTGCTGGTCCTGACATTGACATCTGGAGTATGGGGGGGTAGACAGAGGTCCCTTCACTGTTGAGTCCTGGTGGTCAGCACTTTCCTATGCCCCTCTCGATTCCCCTGTTCTCCCAGTTCCATCTATAGTTACTCAAAATAGTAGCTAATCAAAATAATGTGGAATGGAGGATGGGTGATGGATGGATGAAGGAATGAAGGGGAAATACAGTTACGAGAGGCATGTTTCCACACCTGGGAGCTGACAGCTGCCCTGTCATTCTCAGCCAGGTATTATCATGCCCATTTAACAGAGGAGGAAACTGGAGCTCCGTAAGGCTAATTGACTTTCCCAAGGTCATAAGAATTGGAGCAGATAAGGCTAGCATCCAAAGCCCAATGCTGGTCCTAATCCCTGGGCAGAGGCCCCTTCTGCCTCCCCTCTAGGACATCATCTCCAGGTCATGGTAGGCTCAATCTATAGGGACATAGGCAAAGTATCTGCCATGACCTCAGTGAAACATGAAAGGAACTTTCCTGATATGAGCCTGGGCAGCTGCCAGGAACTGCCTCTCGTTTATATCCCCCTCCCCTCCCCAACGTGTCACCTCCTTAGCAGGTGCTCAGTGCATATTTGTAGAATGAATGAGTTGCCTTGTATCAGTGCAAATTCCTCAAGAAAAAGTCACAGGCGGCAAAATCCCAAGAAAGCAGGTAAAATTGACGTCACGTTTCTCAGCTTTGCAATAGATTGGAATGTGCATTCTGGTGGCAGAACAAGCCCCCTGCCATGCTCACAAGCCCAACACATTCATCACCGCCATCAGAATAGAACAGTTAATGTGCACACTTGCCAACGCCACTCGCTATTCCAAGCATGTGATGTAAATCATCTCAGTTCAGCAACCTGATGAGGGAGGTGTCATGCTGTCCTCCTTATATGGCTAAGGAATCCGAGGCTCAAAGAGGTGAAGGGACTTGACAAAGGCCACCCAGCTCTTTAGTGCCCTATTCACATTCAAAGCCAGAAAGATTCCCTGTGGATGGAGCTGTAGGACTGGGCTGGGGGACAAATGCCCCTCTGGAATCTGTACAGAGGATGGTTCAGTAAAAGAGCTGAGGGGAAGAGAGGAGCAAGATCCTGAAGCAGTGGTAGATGAGGACATGTCATTTCAACAGGCCTTTCCTTGTCCTGTGCCAGGCTCAGCCCTGGTGTGACCACTCAGCTGACATGATTGTGTGTGTGTTTTGGGGGGTGGGGGCAGTGGATTGGAAGGAACCTGGCTGGGCTGTTGTGATTGAGATTCCCATGGAGATGCTGGTGACTCATGTGCCCTTCCCAGCCAGCTGGGCCTCTATCAGGGTGTGACTTATAATAAACAAGGTCATAAAATACCATTTGGCATTTTGCCAGGCTAGAAGGAAGTGGAGAGAAGAGGAGAGAGATTGAGGTGACCCTCCGTCTCCTGCTGGACCCAGGTCTCATCTGGGCCCAGCATCCTGGGCTCTCTAGAGTTCCTACGTGATGTCCAGCCTCTGGGGTCAAAGGAAACCCTTCTTTGCCTGGGTGAAGCAGGTTGGAAAAGGTCACTCCTAGTACATTCTGACCTCTTTTTTCTGTAATGTTCTAGGAACTCCATTGCCCTTCTGTGGCTTCTCAGTGCAGGTATCCTTGCTTGGGCTACGGCTCCTGCTGCCTAGATGATACCTTTTGGGGGACTCTTAAAAACGTGCACAGGTAAAGCAACCCACACACCATTAACTGGCACCTACTCTAAGTCCGGCAGTGGTGACTTGAAACTGAGTTCAACAAAGGTATGTAGCCTTACCAAGTGACCAAAGAGGCCCAGAGGGGAAAACAGAGGAGGCACATCCCAGCCCTGAAGGAACCTAAAACTTCACTCACAGTAATATCACAATTAGCAGAACAATTAGGTGTTAGGTTGTGAGGCTTTCCCTGGGTGCTGTGGGATTTTCATGTTCTGCAGATAAACAACAAAGCACCGCAGACGGATTTGTCTCGGTTCTAGAGGCTGGAAGTGTGAAATCAAGATGGCCGCAGGGCTGGTTCCTTCTAAGCCTGTAAGGGGACTCTTGTCCTCATCTGTACCTCTCCTCTAGCTTCTGGTGGTGTGCCGGCAATCTAATGCCTTGTCTATATACTGCTGAAGAGAGATTAATAAGATGCTTTATATCATCCCAATCTCTCTGTCTTCAGCTCACACAGTAGTCTCAGTGTGTGTATGTGTGTGTGAGTGTGTGTGTGTGTGTGTGTGTGTGTGTGTGTGTGTGTGTGTG